GTGTGTGTGTGTGTGTGTGTGTGTGTGTGTGTGTGTGTGTGTGTGTGTGTGTGTGTGTGTGATACACACACACTCTCTCTGTTCTACGTCTTCATTTAACCTAGTCCTGTATCAAAATGCAAAATAAATTGTCAGAGTCACAATAATGATAAAAATATCAGAGCCAAGAGTAAATTTCTTCTCTTTTGAGTGACCACTCTTATCATTTAAATCACATTTCTTTTTTTTCTCTATATTCAGATAAATATTAGTCACCAACTTTCTATAGTACCTAATTGGGTATCAGTCATATCTAGGATTATTAGATATAATTACTTCTGTTTTCCATTGTGGTCGGTTTTACTTCTTAGTTAATAATTTCAACTTCCAAGAAACTATGTTGTGTTTTTTCACATTGCAGAATATTCAGTTTCCGGATTGTTCTAGTTTCTAAAGCCTAGTGACTCAGCTTCCATGAGTACCTGTAGGGGAAGCAGTGACGTTGGATTCCTATAGCAATCTAAATTGTAGAAGTAGGGTAGTCCAAATAAAAAGTAATGAGCATGAGGCTTTATGTCAGTTTGAATCCCTCCACTAATGGAGCAGTGTCCTCTACTGATTTGCAGGAAAATAGATTAGATTATTTATAATCTAGTTTCTCTTCATTAGGATAGTCGAGTATATGATAGATATTATTTGTATACACAGATCATTTCCACATAGCCAAATTCATTAGGAAAGAATCACTGAAAGGAAATTTGCTTGGGGTATATATTTTTCTATTTCCATAAGTTCCCCTAAGATTCTCTTACCTCTAAACCCACCATAATGAAACTGCTATTCCTAAAAGTTGTACCATGTCACAGTGATATTTTTTGCCTCTGGAAATCAGTAAGTATATATTAAATAACTACTATATGCCAGACACTATGTTAGTTGCTGGGGATACAAGTACAAATAGTCCCTGTCCTCAAGAAAACTGTATTCTGTAGGGGAAAGTGTGGAAGGGCATTGGTGTGGGACAAGGGGGGAGAGTATAATAAATGCAAAATAATGGGAGGATATATTAGCAATTGGAAGGGTCAAGACCTCCTGTGGAAGGCAGCCCTTGATATGAACTTTGAAGGAAACTCAGAATTCTGAGAAATACAAATTGGGTGGGGAGGGGGAAGGAGTGATTAAAAGGAGGAGGGCAGCCTGCAAAAGCATAGAAATAGGAGATTAAATGACATGTATGAAGGATAGTGAGATGGGCAGGTTATATGAACTATAGAATGTGTGAAGAGAAATAACATATAACCAAACTATAAGGGTAAGTAAGTTGGAGCTCAGTTGCCAAAGGAGTTTGTATTTATACCGCTTAAGGTAACCTGAAGCCACTGGAGTTTGGGAAGTGACATCATCGTATCTGTGTTTTAGGAAAATCTCTTTGGCAGCAATGTAGAGAATGTATTGGAGAAAGGAAAAATTTTACCAGGGAAATAAAAATAGGAGGCTGTTACAAGGTGATAAAGACTGTGATGGTAAACATGAAAAGAAACAGACTTAATAATCTATTATGACTTGAAAATTTCAAACCTGGGTGACTACAAGAATGATGGCAACCTTGAGAGAAATAAGGAAGTTTGGAAGTAGGGATGGATTTTACTGGAAAGATAACAAAAGAAACTCAATAATGTACATCATTAGTTTTATTCCCAGCATTAACTAATAACGTGGACATAAACAATTTCTGTTATCCTTTTTACAAAACCACTCTGCCCTGGTGAACTTCAGGATAGAAAATTTTGTATTGCCGAGAAATCCTGGTTTTTAGGATCCCACATTATACAGAACAGGATGTGTAGAGCGTAAGCTTAAAGAGCAAGGGATGACTTTTGTCTTGGGTTATACCATCGTTGTCTAATACCTTACATACAAAATAATCATTTAAAAGTTTGTTGAATTGGATTGATAGCAGTTTAAAAGATGTTACTGTGGTGATAGATTTGTGAATTTTACTCAGGTTGTTTTAGAACTCTTTTTTTATTGGACCTTTTGAATATTCAAAACAAATTAACAATTAACAGTAAGGAAGAGTAAAATAAATGGAAATAATTTATATATTCTGCCTCAGTATGATTTTGTGGAAAATGGTACATTTTTAGAAATATTTTATAGCTGTTATTTGAAAGATTTAAGTATGATATTTGGGTAAAATCTGTTTGTTTGTGGTGGGTTGTGTTCCTAGTTAAAAACCAAGTTACCCACAAGATTACTTTACAAATTTCATATAATATGTAGGAAAAACATATTGCAGTCTTTCTTATTTCAAAGAAAGAAATCTTATTTTGGAGATACTATGAACTATGGTGTTTCAGATATGGCCAGTATCTAGAATATAGCATATAATGTGTCTACCTATACCAGATTCCATTTAGCATGAAAGAGAGAAGACCCTGTTGATCTCCCCCTGTATATGTCCCGTTGATTTTTTTGGTCAGGCCAAAAACTGAATGAGTCTAGATTGTCTACTGTTGTTACTGGTACGTCTCATTTTTTTATTTGATTAGAGAAGTATTTTGTAAAAAAAAAATTTATATCCATTCCCAACCTTTTTTGTTCAAGGCTTTCTGTGAAACTCTAGAAGAAACAAACTATCGATTACAAAAGGAACTACTTGAACGACAAAAAGAGGTGGAATCACTGAAGAAATTGTTGAATGAGAAACAACTTCATATAGACACTATAGAGAACAGAATTAGGTATGTTATAATGTCATGCATTGTTGAATAGCATTTCTAATGTTCTTAATAGATTTCTCTCTTTGTAATGAATAATTATTTGCATGTAGTTTGAAAACAAAAAAGACTTACAAAATATCTCCAATTCTGAAAGTCATAGTTGGAATAAATTTGCCAGGCTTCATATCCCTATTGTTGTTTATTTATTGGAACATGCTATGGAGTTTTTAAAATGTTAAACTTTCTTTAAATACTAAAAAGGTTCTTGGGATGTGTTTTGGGGGGTACCGTGGAATTTTGAGTGTAGTTTCTTCTGTCCCTAACCCCACATTAATTTCTGTTAACTCTTTAAAAATATTCCTTTTATTATGAGCTTGACAAAAATCAGCAAACATGGATTTTATATGAAACTGTGAGCTTCTATTATGTTCATTTTGGTTTTAAGTGTGTGTCTTTTTTTTGGCATCACTATCGCTACCTACCATTCTCCTCTTTTCAGAGCCCTCAGAAAAGGAAAAAAAAATCCTCAGGTTCTTATAGTTTTTCTTGATATGCTAATCATGGTTTAATAACCCATAAATTTCTGTAATCTTGTAATGTCATACCTATTCAAGGTAAAGGGACAGATGTGAATGATTCTCCCTAGAACATCTCCCTTAATTTTAAAACCAAAATAAAACAGTTAAAGAGAAAAAAACCTTCCCCCAGGTTAATTGCCACAGTTTAATTTTTAGGAACCCTAGAAAAATACATCCCACCCACACACATACATACAATTTTTTAAATTACCTTTTAGCTTTATGTGACTGTGACTCATGATAGTGAAAAAAACTGAAGTGCTTCATTCTACAGTTCTAGGAAAAACACAACCTTGATGTTTATGGAAGCCCTAAGAGGAAAAGATATGACTCATTTACTAATACTCTGCTGTTCTATTTTGAAAAATTGTAATTTTAAAAAATGAGTAAGTGGCATAATTTATTTTAAAAAATTTCAATTCCAAATTAAGTTTTTCAAATACACACACTTGGAAAATGACTCTTATTCTTAACAAGAAAAAAAAAGCTTGAGTGTGAAAAATATGCAATGCCATTTTAAACGTAAAAGGAGCTACTTTCATAGAGTAATGTTCCTGTTTTGTAAACCTTTAGACAACTATTGCTGAAGACTATTATTTTGTGTTTTGCAACTGAAACTATAAATTCATTTTAAATATTGATAGAAATAAACTGGGTTTTATTGCCAACTTATTCCATTAGGTTACTGTCTTTAGAGCCTGAAGAAACACTTAGAATTTCAGGAGAGGGTGAATGTATCAGAAAGATAGAGTCTTCTGCAATTGAAGCAGATCAAGATACCTTGGATGAAAAAAACAGGTATGTTCTACATAATATAACTTGGCCTCACTAATTTGAATTATTAAAGAAAGGCAATTCCAAGTTGAACATTTTAGAAGAATTCTCCATTTTATAGCAGATTTCCAATAAGAACAGCAAAATGACTGAAGCTCTATGGCAGACAGGACATTGAAATGATCTGCATAGTGTGTGTGATACATGACTTTATGCCATGGCCTCATGACTGCTATAGTCGAAGTGCAAGTTGGTCTCCGTCCTAGTAGAAGTAGTAAAGGGGCTCTCTGGAGACCCAGATTGACAAGAAAAATTAGTTATTTCTTTTAAAAAGAAAAGGACTTTGAGGGGAGGAGGGTAGTCAGTCAGTCGATTAGTAAGCATTTATTAAGTGCCTGCTATGTGCCAGGCACTGTGCTAAGCACTGGGTATACAAAAAAAGAGGCAAAAGACAGTTCTTGCCCTCAAGGACCTCAGTTCAATGTGGGAGACAAATATATACGAACAAGTTCTGCATAGGATAAATAGAAAAGAATTGAGAAAGGGAAAACTAGAATTAAGAAGGTTTTGGGAAATACTTTTGTAAAAGATGGTATTTTATTTGGGACTTGCAGGAAGCCAGGGAAGTCAGTAGGCAGAGATGAGAAGGGAGAGTATTCTAGGTATGAGGGACAGCCAGAGAAAATGACCAGAGCTAAGAAACAGAGTGCCTTTTTCATGGAACGACCCATAGTTACTGGATCGAAGAGCCCAATGGGTAATAATGGAATTCTAGGTTATGAAGGGCGTTGCATGCCAAATAGAAGATTTTTGTATTTGATCCTGGAGGTGCTAGGGAGCTACTTGAGTTTATTGAGTTAAGCGGAGGTGACATGATCAGACCTGCACTTCAAAAAAATCACTTTGGCAGTTGAATGGAGGATGGATTGGAGTGGACAAAGACTTGAAGTAGGCAGACTCACCAGAAGGTTTTCTTAGTGATCCAAGTGTGAGTTGATGAGGGCCTGAATGAGGATGGTGGAGGATGGTGGTGGTGATGGTGTCAGAAGAGAGAAGAATGTAAAATCAAGAGATGTTGCAAAGGCAAATACAGTAGGCCTTGGCAACAAATTGGATGTGGGGGGTTCAGAGATAGTGAGAAGTCTAGGATGACATCTTGGTTGTGATCCTGGGGGACTGGAACAATGGAGTTGCCCTCAACAGTAATAGGGAAGTTTAGGGAGAACAGTGATGAGTTAATTTTTGGATGTGTTGAGTTTAAGCTCTCTGTTGGGCATCCAGTTCAAGATGTCTAAAAGGCAGTTGGAAATTTGAAACTGGACAACAGAGAAATTGGGACAAAATAGGTAGATTTGAGAATCATCTTCATAGAGATGATAAATTAAATCCATAGGAGCTGATGAGATCACCAAGTGAAGTGGTATAGAGGAGAAGAGAAGAGGACCTAGGACAGCACTGTGGGACATCTAGAGTTAGAGGACATGACCTGAATAGGAAGCAACAAAGGAGCAGCCTGATACAAGAAGAGCCAGTAGAGAAATGATAGTATAAAACCTAGCGGAAAGGCATATCAAGGAAAGAATGATCAACAGACTGTAGAGAGGTCAAGAATGAGGATTGAGAAAAGGTCATTGGATTTGGCAATTAAGAGATCATCAGTAACTTTTGAAGAGAGCAGTTTCAGTGCATTGATGAAATCAGAAGCTGGATTGTAAGAGGTTAAGAAAAACGAGAGAGAAAACAGAGGCACCTGTTGTAGACACCTTCTCAAGAATTTAGCCACAAAAGGCAAAAGAAATAAATAGCACTGATGGGTTTTTTTGAGGATGGGGTGGGGAAGGCATGGGCATGTTTGTAAGTAGTAAGGAAGCAACTAGTAGGGAGAGATTGAAGTGAAAGAATGGGGGTGACAGAGGGGGCAGTCTGTTGGAGGAAATGGGATATGGAATGGGATCGCTTCTGCAGGTAAAGGGGTTAGCCTTGGTAAGGAGTAAGGCCACCTCTTTATGTGAGAGAGGGATAAAGAAAGAGATAGTGGCAGAAGACACCTGAATAAAAAGAAATGAAAAGGGGAGAAGGAGAACTCGTGGTAAATGGTCTCAATTTTTTCTGTAAAATATGAGACCAGGTTCTCAGCTGAGAGAGTTGGGGGAGAGGGAGCCATAGGAGGTTTGAGGAGGAATGAAAAGGTCTGGAAGAACTGCTATAGAGAGTGGAATAATGAGTTGATGAGGAAGATTTAGAAGAATTGCTTAGGAACAGTGAGGGAATAGTTGGAGTTGTATAACAAATTTGTAGTGGACCCAATCAGCACATGTTTCGTTCAGCAGCACATGTGTAGGAGCAAAGGGAACAGATCATAGGAATAATCCAAGGCTGAAACTTGGCCAGGTTCAAATCAGTGATGTGATAAGAGGGCCAAAAGAGCCCTTTTTAAGTCCTTTTTTTGACCTCAAAAGAAGAGGATGGTACAAAATTGAACTGGTTAGCCAAGGAGTCACTATGGAGAAGAAGTATAGTATGATTAGTATAGGGTCAGTGGCCTGATAGATACCTGAGGAGTCAAGGGATTAGAGGTCATGGTGTGAGTGAAGATTAGACTTTGGTAAGGAAAGACAGAAGGAGAGATGGAAAGCCACTAGATTATGATCAGGTAAGGTGACTTCATAATTCTTAAACATGGAGGATGGAATGTTTTGGGTGATGGCAATATCAAGTATATGACCATGGGGGAGGAAGAGCGCAGTGCTAAGGTGGGGTAAAGGAACAGGTCATGGAAGTGAATGGATTGAGGAACTGAGTGGTAATAGTGTTTGAGGGAGAATCAGTATGTATATTGAAGTCTCCGAGTATGAGATCAGGAGTTAAGAAGGAGAGAAAAATTGTGAGCCATGTACTGAACTCATTGAGGTAGGAAGGGGGAGTGACTTAGTAAATGGGCTAGATTTCTAATATTTCTTCCACCTCCATATCTAATATTTAATGGATAGATTTTGTTCTTCTGTTAAGTAACTTTAAAAGTAAAATGAAATTTCATGAATTTTGAATTTGTGGTAATTTGAACATAAGCATTGCTGAAGTTTGACTTGGTGTTTATTTCTTAAATGATTTATTAAGCAAATTAATTGAGGATGACAGGAATTGTGTGAGCTACTGAGAAACACTAGCAGTACTTTAAAAAATTCATTTACGAACAGCTAACCATACATTTACATACAAGCTGCTTTCAGATTGTAATTATTCATTAGGATGATGAGTACCTTAAATTTTAATAGCTTAAACTACGCTGAAACTTTTTGAACAATCTACATATGAAGAGCTGTACTTCAACAGCAGTCCTGGAAATAGTTCTGTAGTGTTTAAAAAGTTTGAGAGACATAGTTTGGGTAATGTAATCGTTTTGTTAATATAAAAACATTGTCATTTGGCCATCGCTCTTAAACCAAAAGCCCCTTATGGTGGTGGGCTCAGAGTTTATATGCTCTTGGAAGAGTAGGTGTTCCTGAGGGTGGCAGTCGAAACTGGTGAACAATTAATCAGAAAATGAATGTTACAATGAGAGGCTAAGCTATATTATAGTGAGGGTCTTGGGGTATGCAACTTGGATCACCCAAATCTTGGTCAAAGAGACTTAGCAATTTTCATATCACATGTCTGACAAAAGAGAGAATCAACATTTTCCCAGACTTGCCTGAGTAAAACACAATGAACAGGAATCCATCCCTTAGCCTAAACTTAGAATTTCTTTTACTGTCTGATCAGATCTTGGCCTGGATAAATCTATGAGAAAGATTTCCAAAACAGGTTGATTTCTGAATGGGGAAGTAGAAAAGGGGAAAAATCTTCATTCTGATTCAATAATTAGTCATTAATATAAGAGAAAAATAATCATTTTTCACAATTTATATACTTATTAAACCAAATTATTGACTGATTTTCTTTCTATTTGGGCCAGTAAATAAAGTTTTTCTGCACTAAGGAACAAACTTTCTTTAAAATTTTGTATGCAAGTTGGCTTAGCAAATATTTTGTTCAGAAATAATAAGGCAAATACCAGCTCAGTCTGTTCAGATTGTCGTGAATTTTGCATTAGAGATATCCAAACAGACATGATTTTACTGTATTTTTTCAGCCATAATGAGCATAATTTAATTCATAATGATTCTGCAAGTGATTTTGGACTGGACTATTATAACATTAGTGTTTTTAATGTTAATATCCATTGTTTTTATACTTGGAAAAAATAATAAATTATATAAGATATTGAATAAAGTTCAGATATCAGAAATCATGCTGATTTGACCAATATTCTAGTGAGTTGTGTTTTTTTCATAATTGTCAATGCTTAAGGTAGGGGCAGCTAGGCATCACAGTGAATAGAGTGCCAGAGTTAGAGTCAGGAAGACTCATTTTCCTGAATTCAGATCTAGCCTTAGACACTCACTAGCTGTGTAACCCTGGGCAAGTCAGTTAACCGTGTGTGCCTCAGTTTCCTCATCTGTAAAATGAGCTGTAGAAGGAAATGTCAAGCCACTGTAGTATCTTTGCCAAGAAAACCCCAAATGGGGTCACGAAGAGTCTGATACACCTGAACCAATGAACAACAACAAATGCTAGAGGAAGTTGTAAGCAAAAGAAGAAAGGTAGATTAGATAATCTTAATAGTCTTCTGTTTTAATTAAGTGATCCATTGTCTGAAAAAATATGAGGAATACTGATGAAATTGAAGGTAAGGGGTTGGCAGCCAGTATAGTCTGTAAAAGCTTTAGGAGCAGGTCCTGTCCAACATAATACCACCCTTCACATGGTGAGCACGAACTAAGAACTATAGGTCTTTGTCAGAGCAGATCCAACTCACAAGCCATAGGCTTCTTATCATTGATGTGACATACATAACTCTGGATTAGAATTTAAGAATTGGGTTTTTATTCTGGCTCAGACTTTTGTTAATTTGTAAATCTGGACAACTCACTTGCCTGTGCCATGTCTGAATTTTATAATAACAGTCAGCCAGCCCGCTCCGAAAGAATTCTGGGGAGATTAAAATGAAGTAATGTACATGGGATATACATTGAGGTATTAGAATGTTAGTCATATTTTGGTGGCAATAATTAAAGAGTCATTCTAAGAAAGTGCTTTATGCTAACTAGTCAGATATGACTAGTTTTACTGTTACATGACTTATTTTTACAGGTTCTTTATAAAACGGTTAGTATGCTTACGAAATTGCTTTTACAGCATTAAATATATGTTGTAGTTTTGTACTCTTAAATGTGGTAGATACATTTCATTTGACAGTTTCAATAAAACTTTTAAAGATGATAAGAACCTACATTGAGTTCATTCATTAGATAAGATTTACTATTGTTCCAGGTCTGATAAGATTCCCAATGTTGGCTGGAGTGATTGTGAACCTGAAAATTCAGTAACTGAAGTGGAGGTAGCTGAAGTGGCCTATGCTGCTGAGGAAGAATAAAGAGATCAGCATCAGCTGCCATAATCTTTGGAGATTTAGCGATTTGAACTGGATTATGTTTTAGCAAAAGCTGTTGTTGTTGGTTTTTTTTTAATAGAGCAGTAGCTGTAAAGCATTTATTAAAAAAAAAGGATGCACATGTGAAATGTTTACATAAACAAAATCATAACTTATTGGCATAGGAAATATATTCAGTGCTGCTTTTGATTTGCTTTTATCTAGCCTTTATATTTAATATATATAAAAGGTCTAGTTAGGATTATATTAACCTAGACCCATATTCTTAAATATTGTACATAAATGATTATGATATTTTGCCAGTATGCTTTAAGCTATACATATATATATATATTATACATATATAATATCATCAGTAATATTGGTCAAGTGGAAATTTATTACATGTGTGAAGCATACTTATTTCTGTCTCATACATACTTTTTAATTGGTTAAAATAAGTTCATGGAATTTATTGTAAAAATATAAGAACAATTTAAATTAAAACATTGATTTTTAAGTACCTTATTTTTTTAAAAATTCATATTAGTGCATTAAAAAAGAAAAACTTAATACCAAATGGAAAATACCTGAAATAGTTATGATCAACTTTCCCTTTAGGATTCTTAGAAAGGAAATAGTAAAATAGTAGTTGATAAAATAATTAATTCATTGGTATCTAGATATTGTATTTTTACACCCCTTATTATTATAATTCTGTATTACATGTTTATTTTTCACTCAACACTTTATCTCTTATTCTTGAACTGTAGATATGAGTTTGCCCTTTTCCCCAAATACTACCTCTTCTTGCTAATTAAGGTATGCTCTTTTGAAAATGTATTCTAGATTATCTTAAAGATAACTGATTTATAACCAAAAGAGAAAGCCATACTTTTCTGCCATGTTAACAACTAGGTTGTTCCTGATTGCAGTGCATTTTTATTTCAGTGTAGCTGAGATGTTTGAGTGCATTATAGCCTTTTTTTTTCCAAAATGTATTTATTTAGCCAAGTGATGCACTTTACAATAATTAAAACTCCTTTGTGCCAAGTTTAATTGGTTGACTTCATTAGAGAGAGGAGTTAGGAAAAAAAAGATTATGTAGTGCCTTTAACATTTAACTATTACAGAAGGCTTAGAATTCTATGGATCAGCTTTGTGAAACTTCTTTAATGTTTATTTTGGCCCTGCCATTAGTTATTGGAAGTGCCTTTGTTTTTTTCCCTCAGAGAGAAGTTGTTAACGTGTTTTTTGGCCATACTGTTTTGCTTAATGCTATTAATGCTAGCATGACTATGTTGCATAGTTTGAAAACTTAAGTTAATGTGTTGGGCTGTGTACATATTTGTGTATATATGTATTGTGTGTGTATTTTTTTTTAGAAGTGGAAAGCAATTGGTGAATAAAGTTGTGACTATCCATTTTTTGTAACCTTTTATCTATTCTTCTCTGTCCCTTTACTACCAATAGATGACTATTTCAAATTCTAATAACATAAACACTTTCAAGAAATAAAATGATGTTCACCTTTAATTCTAAATTAGAACATACTTTGGTTTGAAGGTACCAAAAATCTAATTTAGGTTTTTGTGGAAAACAACAAGTATTTTTTAAGCATCTATTATGTTCAAGGTGTAACAAAAAAATGAAGAACAGTCTCTTCACTCAAGGAGTTTACATTCCTATTAGTGGAACAAAAATATGTCTAATATTTCAAAGATTCATGACTTCATCTGGGTATACCTTTCTCTGATGAAAACTGAAGACTCCACATCTTAGTGGACATTCTTCATGAATTATTGTGGTTTTAAAAAAATTCATTATCTAGTGGCCAACCTGCTGCTGCTGCTGAGCCTCTCTGAATTTGGTTGTCCTTTGTTGACATTCAGTCCATCATATCCATACTAAAAGCCTCCTAATCTTGGAAAGATCTGCCAGAATTTGTACTAGACTTGCATAGCATTTGAGAACCCATGTTCACCTCGACACAGTGAAGAGGTACCTGAATAGGATTTATTTCTCAGGGAATATTTCATAAATCACGGGGGAATTTTTTTAACTGTACTTAGAAAAGGAATGAAAAAAATTCTTCAACTTATTTTTTAAGTATCCTAGATTTTCTATGAGGATTAGAAAATATTTAATGGTTTTTAATCTTAACTGTATTGACTTTTGCCAAATTATTGAAATAATACAACTTTTTTCAAAATGAGCCAGAGTTATAACTCCTAACATATTTATCTTTAAATATTTTAGAAATATTAGAATATATTTTACATATTATATCTAACAATCTTTAGAAATATGAGTTTTCTGTGAACATGAATTTTTTGCTAATTAGAGGAGCTAGTTTATATTCAGAATTATTGTTTTACTTTGTAAATTTATTCTCAGTATTATATTAAATGGATAATTTTGATTACTAAATTTTAAAATTTTTTGCTGTCAGTTAAGATGCAGAAATACAGACCTAAAGAAAATTGTCCATGGGGATGTTGAACCAATACAATAAAAATGGCAATACTCCCTAAACTAATAAACTTATTCAGGGCTATAACAAACTCCCAAAGAGGATTTTTAGAGAGTTAGAAGACAATACTGAAAATCATTAAGAAGGAGGAACAAAAGGTCAAGAATTTCAAGAGTAATAATGAAAAAAGTGGGAAGGAAAGGGGGGTCTATCAGTACCAGATCTCAAAGAGTACCACAAGACAGTAATTATTAAAATTATTTGGCATCAATTTAAGAAGAGGATGATCAATGGAATAGCACACAATGGTACACAACAAAAAGAAGCAAACAGCATGGTGCTTAATAAACGCAATGACCCCCATTACTGAGTGGAGAAGAACTTGACAAAATTACTACCACAACAACTAGCAGTTTGGCAGAAATTACCAAGAAAACCTCTAAATATGTATATGTGACCTGTATATTAAAGGTTCATAATCATAAGCTACAGTTAATTGCTTTACAGAAGTGGACTATTCATTAGACTTCTATGTAAAGTGATTTTTATTTAATGTGAATTTGCCCAAGGACATGGGGAAGGGAGAGAGGAGGGAAAGCTAGGAAGGGGTGCCTGTGGTGGCACAGGATTCCAGAACATGTGGTGGCCTGGAACAGAGAAGGAGAGCAAGAGGAAGGCATGGGGCCAAAAACACATGGTACATGTGGGCTGGTGGGCTGAATGGGGCAAAGGTCTCAGTACTGTAAGTCTCAAGCCAAGCCCCAGTTCGTAGTGGAGGTGGCCATCTTCTGCTTTCAGTTGGAGGGTTTTTTTAAGGTTTTTGTTTTGTGGGGTAGGAGGCCTTGGAATGCCAAGCTGAGTGGCAGGAGTGAAGACAGAGCACAGTAAAATTTTTTTGGAATGTGGAATTTCTTTCAGAATTCTTTATAAAGTCAAGTTTGCATAATGCAAATTTACATAAAACAAATCTGTAAAACAAATTACTTTCATATCCATGAATAGGGGAAAAGTTATGACTAAACAAGTGACAGGATCACAAGATAAAATGGACAAGATTATGTAAAGTTTTTGCATAAACATTTAATGTAGTTAAAAAGGAAAAGAGAAATAGGAAAAATCTTTGCAGCAAGTTTGTCTGATAAAGGAATCATTTCCAAGGTATGTAAGGAACTGATTAAAATGTATTAAGATAGAGCCATTCTCCAGTAGATAAATGGTCAAATGTCATGAACAGGCAGTTATCAAAGGAAGAAACCCAAGCTTAAGCATATAAAAAAAATCTCAATTCACTAATATAAGAAAAATACAAATTGAAACAACTTTTTGATTCTACTTCGTAATCTTCTAGACTGGCAAAGATGGCAAAAGAGGAAAATGGCATGTTAGAGGAGCTCTGGTGAAAACAGCTATGCTAGTGCTTTATTGGTGAACCTGTAAATTGGTACAGCCATTCTGAAATCTGGAACTATGCTGTTACTATGATGTGCTTACTCTTTGACACAACTACACCTCTACTAAACCTATGCCCCAAAGAAAGAGGAAAAACAATTCATATGTATCAACATTTATAGCTATTATTTTCAAGAGAGCCAAAAATTGGAAACTAAGGGGAAGTCCTGTGGCTAAACAAATTGTCATAAATGTAATGGAATAGGAGACAGAGCCAAGAGGGTGGAGTGAAAACAAGGACTCGCCTGAGCTCTCCCCCAAATCTCTTCAAATACCTCTAAAACGTGACTGGACAAATTCTACAGTGGCAGAACCCACAAAGAGAGAGTGAGGCAGATTTCCAGCCCAAGACAACCTGGAAGGTTGACAGGAAATGTCTGTTGCACTGGCCTGAGAGAGGAGTGTCCAGTGCGCAGGGTACAGTGCAGGCCTGGCCTAAGCAAAGCCGGAGCAGGCTTCAGGGGACTCAGGCACCAGCAGTAGTGGCGGGTTCCAGTCTTCTCAGGCCACAGATGCCAGAGACAATTTAGAAGGTAAGCAAGAGGGGTCTGTCAGAACTGGGTGAGAGAGAAGCTCAGTTCAGTGCAGGGCTGCAGGGCTTTCCAGTACAGCCCTGCCACCAGCAAACCAGGAACAGGCCTTGGAAGTGACTGAATCAGCAACTGTAAAATCAACAGTGCTGCTTCTGGAGCTATTAGCCTACAGACTAACTGTTTGAAGGTCAACCTATTTAGACTTCCAGGAGCCAACATGGCGGAGTAAACAGTCCCTCTCACCCTCCCTTATTGACCTTGAAAAACCCAGAGAACATTGCCCCAGGAAAAATTCTAAAATAGTATAGTCAGCAGAAAGACTAGATAACAGCAGTCTTTTAGCTTGTGACACTAATAGGATTAACAGGAAATGTCCTTCTTGCTATGGCTGAAGGAGACCAGTATAGGAAGGGAGGTGTCCCAGCAAGCCAGTGGCAAGCCCCACCTCAACAAACCAGTAACCAGGCCCCCAGTACAAGAAGCCTGTGACGGTGCTCCCTGTGCCGCAGAAGCAGAGATCAACTTTAAAAGCTAGAAAAAAGGCAAACAACATGAGCCAGAAGCAACATAGCAAAACAGTGACCATAGAAAAGTATCTTGACAGGGAAGATCAAAACACAAATTCAGGAGAGGATAACATTGTCAATATACCCACGTCTGAAACCTCAGAAGGGAATATGAACTGGTCTCAAGCCCAAAAAGAAAAATTGAACAACTCATTTTTTAAAATGGAAAAAAAGTACACTGAAGAAATCAACTCCCCTAAAAGCAAAATGGGCCAAATGGAAAAGGAGGTACAAAGCTAACTGAAAGAAACAATTCATTAAAAATTAGAATTGGGCAATTGGAAGCTAACGACTCCATGAGAAATCAAGAATCAGTAAAAACAAAATCAAAAGCATGAAAAAATAAAAGAAAATGTAGAATTCCTCATTGGAAAAACAACTGACCTCGAAAATAGATCCAGGAGAGATAACTTAAGAATTATTGGTCTACCTGAAAGCCATGATTAAAAAAAAGAGCCTGGACAGCATCTTTCAGGAGATCATCAAGGAAAACTGCCTGGAAGTCCTAGAACCAGAGGGTAAAATAATCATCAAAACACTCCATCGATCACCTCCTGAAAGAGATCCCAAATTGAAAACGCCAAGAAGATTGTAGCCAAATTCCAGAATTATCAGGTCAAGGAAAAAATCCTGCAAGCAGCCAGAAAGAAACAATTTAAATATCATGGAACCACAGGCAGGATCACGCAGGACCTTGCAGCTTCTACATTAAAAGATCAGAGGGCTTGGAATATGATGTTCTGTAAGGCAGAGGAGCTTGGATTACAACCAAGAATCAACTACCCAGCAAAATTGAGCATAATCTTTCAGGGGAGGAGATGAACATTCAATGAAATAGGGGACTTCCAGACTAAAGTGATGAAAAGACCAGAGCTCAGTGGAAAATTTGGTCTTCAAATAAAATAGGCATAAAAAAGTAAACAGGAAAGGGGTGAAAATGTTATTCAATAAGGACTAAACTGTTTACATCCCTACATGTGAAGATGCTACTTAAACTCTTGAGAACTTATCTTTATTACAACATTTAGAGGGGATATACATAGAGGGGATGCGTTTAAGTTGACTGATGTGATGATAAAAAACCTAATGAAGTGGTAAAAAGGAACTGTAATAGGAGAAGAGAAAAGGAGGAAGCAGAAAAGGATAAATTACATCATGTGAAGAGGCACAAAGACATACTACAGTAGAGGGAAAGGAGGGAGGGAGATGAGCATTGTTTGAACTTTCCTGTCATTGGTTTTGGCTCAAGGAGGGCAGATTGAGGGAGGCAGTAGTCAAAAGCAAACGTAATGGAATATTACTGTGCCATAAGAAAGAAGAACAAACAACAACCTTTAGGTCAGCAGTGATGCTCTGAGGAACCAGCCCAGCAGTAATTGAGACAAGGGCGTATCTGAACTA